TCACTGCAGAAAAGCAGCCGCACCGTGCATTGACTTACGTCCCGAGTCGCAAGTGCCGGTTGTTGCTATCTGTTCCAGGTGCCCCGGCCGCAGCGCACGATGAAAGCATCCACAGCCTGAGGGTCGACAGGAGGTACCTGGGCGCCACGAGCTCAAGCAGAGTGTTCATGAAGTCCTTTCGATGATGAATCTTGGACAGCATCCCAAAATCCAGGTAAGGCTTCACCGAATGAACCGCAGCGGTTGAACCCGACTAACACGAGAACTCAAGGCTTTTTCCAGGTTGTTGAAAGTTGAGCGTCAAGAGGGTATGGGTGTCCCGGGAGGATGTGCGCAGAATTGTGGTCCAGCTCGGATTCGGGGGCTTTACACTCTCACAACTCGGACAAGCCAGGCGAGGATCCATAGGTGCATAAGTCGGCGTGACACTTCAAGCTGCCCACAGGATATTTCCGGCCCTCGCTCTTTGCAAGCACCACGGTTCCAGCTTTTCCATTCAGCCGCACACTCTATGGAAGAACTTTGAACGGACACAACGGTGCCGCATGCCATGGACAGCATGGCCTCTAAAGGCTTGCTGGTTGCCAGCAGTGTGCAACAGCCGGTGTGGGGGGGAGTGGGTGATTCTCGTTTGGCATGATCTGATGCTTGCAGCACATGGTGTGCGCACATCGTCTTGGGCACTGGAATCGAACCGGCCCGGTGCTCAAGTCTAAGGCCCATCCTTCTATTGACTTGGACCGACTTGTGTAATAGTTTTGTGGTGCGTGCTGGTGTGAGGTCTCCGGTGCAAGTCCGTTCAAATCCGCTCCTCGCATTGGCTTGGCTGCAGTCGGGCAAAACACTGGGGCATCATGACTGCACTGTCTACTTAGGTATGCTGGAATCACTTCATCCTAGTGGATAGAGCAGGAACGGCCTGCTGGACGTGTATCTTTGTTTCAGAATGTGTCTCGAAGACAAAGACAGGACCTGTTAGGACATGGTGAGCCACCTGCGACGGCTCCATAACATATCAAACAGGACCTATGTGCCCTGTGTTCCATCCAACGATGCTCTTCTCGTCGTGAAGAAGACCATGTTTTGCACGGACAGAAGAACCGCCTAAACCGCATATCCCCAAATTTGAATGATACGCAGCCAAACCGGATAAGTTATCGACGGATAGCTCACTTATAAGAGGGCTGCAAACTCAAGCTTGTACTACCCGGAATAACCTCAGCCCTTCCAAAGCTCTGACAGCCCCACTTTCTCGACCAAAACATGCCGCAAAGCAGAGAACTGGGGAGCCAAACGGGCGCCGGCAATGCTGGCATCTCCGAGGCCATTCCTGAGGCCTGGCCGTGCCAAGGCCGCGAGCGGGGAGCGGCGGGGGGGGCGTAGGGTGCTCTGAGAAAGACACCCTCGGACCCTCTGCCAATTGGTGGATTGCAGCGATTAATTAAAAAGCGCCATATATGTGTATTGTAGTGGGGATCCGAGTAGGGCCTGCATCACCTGATTGGCGAAGTCAACAAGCCGCATACCACCGGCAGGGTCGTACTCCTGAGGCGGTCTTGCGAATCTGAGATCGAAGGAGTTGGGAGCTTCCCTGCTAAACTCCTCTATGGTTGGGGTGTGCACCTCGGGCATAGGCAAACCTGCAGGTTCTTCCGACTTCAACCGTTCCATGTATTATAGTCCTGTGGCTCAAACTGTTTCTTCAGCGAACCATTTGGGCTGCCAGCTGGTCTTCCCAGTAATTACTGGGTCCCAAAAGCCGAAGTTCTCAGATCCAAACCCACCTTAGAACCACACCCTCTGAACCGACTGGAGCAGCGTCAACCTTCAGACTTCAGTGCAACCCGTGACACGAAGCCAAAGGCTAGCCGGCCAAAATCCCTTTGCCCCAGCTTCTCACCCTTCAGCTTTAAAGCTGTGCCCTGCCACGGCTTTGGAAACCAACAGAAAGCACGGCCCTTTTCTGAGCGCATGTGAAATGGCCCACTAAGGGCCCGGCCGTGATGATCTGGACCTGAACCTTGAGAACATCTAGGTCTCCGAGTCCCACACTTCAGAAATGAAGTTGGTAGCTGTGCTAGCATTCTGAAGCAGGATTTTCTGGCGATGTCCCCTTCCGACAGAGCCTAGCAGCACCTGAGCGACCCGATACCGTCACGGATGCTGCAACCAACCGCGACTGCCTGCACACCTTGACGAGCCCAATCGCTCGTTCTCCGTCAGTGAACCCATAGCAATGCCTCGTGCTGCATGCAGCGAAACATTCTCTGCCACACCTCCTTATGCACTTCCAGATTCCCCTGTTGTAGCACATATAGAACTGTGCAAGGTGCTGGGTGAAGATGCTGCTGAAGATGCACAGGCCAGGATTTAGCATCGTGATGATGATGATGATTATGATGATGACGATGATGATGATTACGGTGACGATGACGATGATTACGATGACGATGACGATGATGATGATGATGGTGATGCGGCTGATGCGGCTGATGCTGATGATAATGATCATCATAATGGTGAGCTGGTGCCCTGAAAAGACGAGCTTGATGAGATACTGATGACGGTGACGGTGATGAAGATTCACATGCACCGATACTTTGCGTAGGTGATGCGATGCTTTGCATCATTGCAAGCGAAGGGTGTGACGGAGACACGGATCTCCTCTGCCTCCGCTTCTGGGCGGTAAGGCGTGATTGCGATTTTCACTTCCTAACCACACATCGCCCAAGAACGAAGCCGTTACCCAATCGGGGCAAGAGGCCTCTAAATGCAACGCACAGGATGCTCAGCCCAATAACAACTGAACAAGGCCCAGGAGCAAGGTCGGGCATGGACTTGAGGTGTGATACTTCCTCCTGGGAGCTTGGTTGGGCTTGAAGGGCTTAAGCCACACGGTTGCCATGCATTCATGAAAATGCTCTGTTGAACATCCCCAACTCGCCCTTTGCATATTCTAGGAGACACGAGGGACGAGGAGCGGCGGGAGAAACCCTATCTGCACCAAAAGAACTGCAGTTGTGCAGTAGCTAAAGCTTAGATCCTCACATGCCTCGAGGGCTCGGGCTGTAGGGACTGTACACAGCAGAGCATAGCAGAGCCGCCGACCAATGGGAGCTTCATAGTTCTTCCCCACGTCGAACGCACGAAGCCGAGGAGGCGACCCCACCTTTCGGCCATGACCGGGCTTGGGGTGGCGCACTTCGAGATTTGGCCGGCAGGGCATTCCAGCAGAGCGAGGTTTTGTTTTCTACAGTTTTCCTTTTGGCGTGTGGGGGATTGCGGCGGCGATTCCGGTGCATCATATACATATGTACATAGATATAGATATATATATATATATATCTCTCTCTCTCTCTCAGTCTCTGTTCTGTTCTGTTCTCCGGGGCATAGGGTGCTTTTCAGGCACCCCGCGCCGAAGGGCGCACCCCTATTTAGGGGCCTTGTGGGGGTTTTCGAAGAGATATGGATCTTGCCATCTCTCTCTCTCTTTCTTTCACCAGGGCTAGGGATGAAGGAGGCAAGCCCCCCTCACCCGCGCGCTCAAGGCGCCCCCGTCCTGTGGGGAGCAGATTGTGAGATGCGCATGCGAGATGAAGGCAGAAGTGGCTCGAAACAGTAGGATGCGCTACAGCAGGTTCTCTCTCTCTCTCTCTCTCCCTTTCTTTCGCCACAGTTTTTTTGACACCCACACTCGGACAAGCCTGGCAAGGTCCACCACGATACTGTCTTCAAAGGATCATTACCTTCGCCAGGGTTAGGGACAAGGCTGTTGCCCCCCCTGCCTGCGCACATGTGCGCATATCTCTTTTTGTTGTTTTCTCTCTCTTTTCTTTCCTCAGAGTTGTGGTGGGGAGTTGTTTTGTTTTCTCTCTCTCTCTCTCTTAAACATGCATCATATATATATATATATGTATGTATGTATGTATGTATGTATGTATGTGTGTATGTATGTATGTATGTATGTATGTGTAAACATATTTCTTAAACACCCGCCCTCATTTGGCAATTCCGGGTCATCATACTTCCGAAGCACGCCCCCTCATAAGGCGATTTCGGGTCATCATATGTCTTAAATGCGCCCCCTCATTTGGTTCATCATACATGATATACATATATACATGTGTATATATATATATGTATATAAACATATATATATATATAAAGAGAGAGAGAGAGAGAGCTCAAACACGCACCCTCATTTGGCGACTCCGGCAAATAAATATAAATACATCATTAAACAAATAGATAATAAATACATATATATATATACGTATACATACATATATATATATATATATCCTAAACACGCCCCCTCATTTGGTGTCTCCGGTTCATCATCTATCTAAAACACGCCCCTGTCATTTGGCGATACCAGTTCGTGATGTATCTTAAACACGCCCCCTCATTTGGCCATTCCGGGTCATCTTATACCTTAAACACGCCCTCATTTGGCGACTCCGGTTCATTATATGTCTTGAGCACGCCCCCTCGTTTGGTGATTCCGGCCCATCATATGTCTTCAACACGCCCCCTTATTTAACGATTCCGTTTCATCATATATCTTAAAAACACGCTCCCACATTTAGCGATTGCAGCTCAAAACGAGGAGAGGTTGGCTCAAAAAGAGCGCGGGGGGATGAACCGGAATGGCCATATGAGGGGGCGTGTTTGCGATATATTACTGGAATCGCCAAGTGAGGGGTGTGTGTTTAAGGTTCTTCATTTCTTTCGTTCTTCCTTCCTTTCGGTGTTTCTCCTGCGTCTTTCTTTTTCGCTCTTTTGTCCTGTGCGTTTCTTGATTTCTTTCTGCCTCTGTCTTTCTTTCTTTCTTTCTTTCTTTATTTCTTCCTTCCGTCGTTCTTTTCGTTACTTCTTCCTGTCTGTGAACTGCCTTTGCTTCTTTCTTTCTGACGTGCCTTGAACAATACGGTACCCTATTCCAGCGGGTCTGCATAACACTTCCTTGCACGTCTCTTCCCCGGATCTCTTCCCCTGATCTAGCAGATTGAGCCCCCCAGCACATTTCCATCTGCAGAAGCAGACGCGTCGAATGCCGACCTGAGGCAGGCTGGCTTAGAGTGGCTGGCAGGTGTCCTAAGGACTACATACAGATGTGAAACAGGGAGTTGGAAGGCTGCATACCGTTTGCCCCGGCCGCACTAAGCCCGAAGCAGCACCACCTGCAGAACGTGGTGTGGTAAGGCCTGGCAACGACGCGACTCGCACCACTCAAAAGCCATTGCTGCAAAGTTCAAGGGACCCTGCACCGCCCTGCAACAAGGCCCTGCCTGCAGGAACTGGCCGGCCCGCTCGTCCAGACCCCAGCGCTCGACGAATTGCTGCAGGGTCGGCGCTCCACTCGGAGCGCTGGGGCCTTTGTGATGCGAGGCTTCTGGGCTTAACGAAATCCGCCTTTATACAGGTTTGGGATCTACGGAAGAAATCCCACCAGAAGTCGAACTTGAGGAACATTGCAGTTGCAGGTTCATGCGCCGACGGAACCTGAAGTTTCAAGATATGGCCTGAACAACTGTGAAACCTGCCGGTAGCTTGCCCCTGAACTGTGCTTGCGTTGCGTTGCTCTTTTCTGCCTGGCCGCACCGCTTTGCAACTTCCTCGCGCTGCGCGCTTTCATCCATCTGCCAGGCGCTACCAGGTCAAGGAGAACTCGAAGCCTGGCACACGCTCCCGTACGCGGCCCAGGACCTGGAAGATGCTCTCGCCAATCTGATCCAGCTTTTTTGGGGGCCCTTGGGCCCAGGCTCGGGGATCGGTGCCCAGCCAACGGATGTCGCGCTCCCGGTGCCATAAGACACGGGCCAGGGGATGGCAAAAGTAGCCCTGCAACCATTGCTGGTAGGGATCCAAAAGCCGCAACTCAGGGAAGAGGTGCTTCAGGTCCTGGTGACGATCCTCTTTTCTTAAGTAATATGTGGATTTTCTCAATACCGAAACAGCTATTTTGTACTACCTCCGTCGGCTTCGGGCCCGGGCCGCCAAGCCCAGAATAAATAAGCGGATCCCCCCTCCCCTCCTCCCTACCCTCCGCCCCTACCGGCTTCAAGCTGAACCCCTCTCCACCCTCCACGCCTCTACCCCTCCGCCTCCACCCCTCCACCCAACCCCACCCCTCCACCTCCACCCCTCCCACACCTCCCTCCACCTCCACCCCCTCCACTCCACCCCTCCACGCCTACCCTCCACCCCTGCCAATAAGACATGATGTGAGATAATAAGGTTTGGGGCGTTCGCATTTCATAGGAATTTGGACCTAGAGGCTTAACGCAATCTGCAACCCACACCTTGGGATTGAGAGTTTAGGACGTAGGTGTGAGTCGTGGTACTACTGAAGTATAAGAACCCACAAAGATTAAAGGTTGGGTATTGGGGAACNNGTGGAGGGGTGGAAGGGTGGGGTGGAGGGTCGAAGTGGAGGTTGAATGGTGGTGGGGTGGAGGGGTGTGGAGATGGAGGGAACGGAACTATTGGGTGGGACCGTGAAGGAGTGAGTTGGAGGTGGTGGAGGATGGGGGGTGGCGGTGGGTGGAGGGGTGGAGGGGTGGAAGGGCGGGGGGGGGGGGGGGGGG